GCAGGTGCCAGTCGGGGGTGCCATTGTCTTGGTGGCACCTTTTGATGTATTCGACTTCCCAAATCCATGCCAGGCGGGCCTCAACTGTGGCATGAAAGATTCAGCTGAATCAGTCTAATGTTTTGCAGGTTGGAACAGGCTGTTGCTGTCTTTCCGAGTGCACAGGTGCAGAAAGTGCCCTGAGACTTGAGCATGGGACAATTTCGACATAGAAGATTAGGTCTCAGCTTGCAGGAGACTGGATGCTAGGCTGCTTGCAAGTTATTGCTCAAGCCCCGCCGAACCTGTACACTCCTATCCAGAGCTGACACCAGACCTCTCAAACGTTGCGTTGGGCACGCTCCTGTCGAGAGGTGGCCGTGCCGAATAGTGCCTCTTTGTCTATCTTTGGCCTTCCCCTGCCGGAGTTCCGACCGCGCGCTTGAACCTTCCACAAGCTGTGTGCCGCCACCGCGATAGGGGCAGTTGAGCGACTAGTCGTTAACGTTGCGGCAGGCTGTTCCAGGAAGTGGCTTTCTTCTTAAACCATGAAAATGAAACTATGAAGATGAGGATGTTCGGTGGCCAGGTCTGCTGGTGCTTCATGTGCCTCCTCGGCACTGGGAGCCGCAGTCGGCCACCCAGCGCGCATCCTCCTGTCCTCATGCACATTTCTTAGTCTGGACATAGCATAGCAATATATAGCAATCGATAGGCTGAGGCAACTGGCAAGGCATTGCGGGCCCCGCCATAGTGCATTGCCTCTTGATGTTTCTTGCGTCGGGGGCTGGGTCGTTGTTCTGGACGAGGTGGCTTGTCATTGCCTTTGGCAAACATATCCTATAGTCTTGAATCACCCTAAACCCTAAACTAAACCCGAAACCCTGGACACCATCAGCCTTGCCTAAGTTTCTTGAGGTCGTGCTTCCACTGGGCGCGCTCCCGCCCAACACGTACCTGTTCACAGTGCAAGGGCCTGAGCACGTTTGCAGTCATGCGAGTACCATTGCAGAGCGCATTCCAGAACCTGTGTCGCAAATTCACTCATCCGGCTGTTCAGAGCACATACTGAAGAGGTCTTAATCCCATCGACGGGGCAGCGCATGTATTGTAGTCAGAAAGCGAGGCTTTGGGCATACAGCCGAATATTCATCCATGCCTATGCAGTTCAGATCGTGGGGCTGTTGGAGTTACATGGCCTCAATGACATGGGGCTTGATGGGAATGAGTATGGTTCGCAGGCGTGCCGTCCGCAACTTGCGAACTATTGCTGCGAATGATCCACAGCGCCTGTCTCAGATCTGCAAACGATACCGAAAGTAACTTCTCCAAAATGCTCAGGAGCGACCGTAATTTATGTAGGTGGTCCCTGCTTTTCCATGGTGTCATTCCCGTTGGGTTGCGCTTCGGTAGGTTAGTGCAAAAACTGCATGACCATGCCCCCAGCATGTAGCAATTGAGTCTTAAGGTACCAGTGGCAGGCCTACACTGTGGCAGCAGGCCCCCCAGGGCTGTGAACACTGCCTCATAGGATTGAAACGTTCCAAGGGGAGTTGGCCTTCTGGCGGCCTTCTTGCGCCGTGCGCTTGCAAACGTAAGATAGCGAACCATTCCAAATACTCAACATTGAGTTTCGGAGAACTGCGTCATATCGAAAAGCGTCCGTTCCATGATTTTCGAGACGGCTTTGGAGCCTCCTGCCTCGAAAATCGTGAGACCAAGCCCAAGAAAAGGACTTCCCGCACGCTCGACGATTTCTCGTGCAACCCTCGGCACGGCACAGTTGCCGACTTTGGATTCCGCAGTGTCATGCAGTATTTGCACAAACCTTGCGCCTTCCTTCGTGTTGGTTCGTCACGTGCCGGGTCTTTTGTTTTCAGTCGTGAGTCAATTCATGATGCAGTTGTAGCCACCTAGTTCCCAGCACATCCACATGCAGTTCCAATGTGTCACTGTGAGTATGCAGGGTGCTCGTGCTTTATAGCGTTCCATCTGCAGGAGAATCGGCAGCAACCAGCATCGGCAGCACTGCAGTTGCATTTCTGGACCGAGGGCCGGATGGGACTTGTTGACAGTTGTTCGCGAAGTGATGGATAAAGGACAGTGCAAGAGAGCAGGGGCAGATAGCAGACGAAGCGAAAGAAACAGAGCCTTTGTGTCCGCTGCTCCTTCTACGAACGCACGTTCTTGTCACCCAGATGGACTTATAAATTTGGGCTCAACGCGTGTCTGGAGGGGGGGGAGGGCATGTGGCTAAGCAGAAGCAGAAGAGCCTTCTGTGTCCTAATCGTGCCTTTGCCCATCGCTTCGCTCTCAGCTGTCAGCTGGGGGGGCCTGAGGGGTGTATGGGTATGGGGGAGAGGATGGCCTGGTGTTCCAGCCGTCACTGGGCTTGCCGTCCCAGCTTGTCCAATACGCACACACGCACACACGCACACACGCACCCGCGCACACGCACACTCGCACACTTGCGCACTCACACACCCACACCCACAAGCACATGCGAAATAAACACCAAATAAATCCAATTGCGTTTAATGGGCGAGTGTGCGAGCGCCACGACAAAACAATGACTAGAAATTAATGCATACCAATAATAAAGGAGCGAGGAAAATGGAGGAACATCAGCTAATTCCTGAATCTTATTGCTCTCTCAATCTATTTCATCAAAATAAAGAATGATAGTACTTTAAGGGCATAGAAGAAGATATGAACGAAAGGCTGTGGAGCAGGCAGGGTAATTGCCTGCATAGCAAGAATTTGATGTGCCCAGTGGCGCTATGCGAGGGACTTCGAGGGAGGCCGTCTTCATGCGATGTCGTTCAGCAACGGAGCGGAGCGCCTACTTAAGCAGCTCGAAGGCGAGGAGAGTGCGGATCCGAGATGCGAAGTGCGCCTAAAACAATATTGCATGTCCAAAGGGAAGCATCGAGGAAAGAATAAGTCGCAAACCCTGATAATTCTGAGTTCCTTTATGGGCACTCTACCGACGGAGTAAGATGGAGAGGTCACCGCATGACACGTAGCAGTTTTGACAACTTGGAGCATGTGTGCAGGACAGCCCGCGCGTCTTCGCGAGCTTTTCTGTGCTTGTGGCAATGAGCCCAGGCCTTATGACAGCCCATGGACCTTGGGCTGGAAGCTGAAACCATGTGAGGGGTAGTAAGGCGATGGTCCCATAAGAGATGCTACCCATCTAAATTGCAACGACACTGTCCAGCGTTAGGCAACTGGCAAGTGCCATCAGTCTGAGATGAAGGCACACACCCTTACATAACCAGATCGTAAACCGATGTGGATGGGGTCATTGTATGCACTATCCGGCCCATCGCATGCAGGTCTCGTATCCGGAGACCTGGGCCAACATGGCATGCCATCTGTTTTGGACTGAGGTGATGCTTTCATTGACACAGAGCTTCTCGACCTCTCTGTGACTGGCTTCACGAAAAGGCCTCTCTTTTGACCCGCGTCCACCTACAAGTTTGTTGAAGGCTTTCTCTGCACACCTGTTTTTTGTTCGCATCCCAGGTTAACACCCAGGTCCTATCAGAGAGGTGGAGAGCACGGAGAGAGGGAGAAGAGAGAGAGACCCGAGAAAGGAAAAGAAGCGAGGGAGAATGAAGAGGGATTGGCTTGCACTGAGAAGGGTTGGTTGTAAACTTCGGATTGGGCACGCGTTGCATTGGCCAACCGTGCAGCCCCACATGGTTCGGTGGAAGGGAGGGAAGGGAAGGGAAGGAAGAGCCCCCAAGCTGGTAAGAGGAAGGTTGCGAGAGCCGACTTTGCCAGGCGTGGAGCTTTGAATCAAGTTGTGATTTGCTTCCAGCAGTCACTAGCCCGGGCCCTCAGCATCGAAGGGGCTTCGGGGCTTTCGTGACAACCAGCTGCAGCTCAGGGGTACCAGTGTACGGGAAGCCAGCTGAGGTTAGGCTTTGGCAAGCACCTCACTGAAGCACTGAGCTCACATGGGCTTGGGTAAATAAAACCCGAGGTGGGAGTGCAAGAGAAGGCAGGCCTACTTTTTCGGTTCGCTCAACCGACAGGAATAGATTTTGCAACAATGGGGCTTGGATGTCACCAACCCACTGACATGCTCGAATACCTGGCCAAACGATAAGAAATGTCAAAAACGTCCCGCGCCCTGTCACAGGCCTTGCGAGACTCAGCGCTCAAGACCGTTGCGGATTTATGCATCAACCGGTAACTTAACTAGTGTTAGTATTAAATTATAAACCTTCCTCAAACCTACATTGGCCAACATGCTCGAGCTTTGCTGCACCTAGCTCATCTTAGCTCGTTAACCCCTATAGCCCTTATTTATGCCCAGAACTTGCAGAGCTTCACGCCCCAAACCCTCAAACGAAGCCAGCGGAATGGGCTTTCATCCGTAAGGTGATGCAGAATAGGTTATCATGATTAGCAACAGGAGTGTTTTTACCCAGTTTTCACGCAAGCCCACAATTTTCTCTCATGTGCGCCACAACTTCTATGGTCCAAGGCTTCACTTGCTGGACAAACCCTGAGCGCACAGCACTCAGCCAGCAGACAAGGATCGCCAGAACGTTTTCTCTCGTGGCAAAGAGAGGCTGTGAGAAATGCAGCTTTTACACCGCACTTGTACTTGGACACTTGTGGCCGGCTCCTCTCGCATGCTGTACAGTCCTGACACTGAGAATAGTTTTGCTGCTTCGGATTAAGTCAACCGCAAGGTCTACATTCCTGACGGCTTCAGGCCAGGTCCTCGCTCTTATGCATGTTGTCTTGTTGGATCAGGTTTGATGAACTGGGTGTGCTGTATGCCACTACATGCATTGCTGGCACATCCACAGCTTTGTGTAAACAAAGCAGTACAGACGCGAAAGCATCCACGGCAGCAAAGTCACCATCAGCAATACAAGGTTCGCGCATCTCCAAGCCCACGTTTGAAGCACTTGTCCAGGTCGAAAAGCCATGTGGCCATAATGTCAAGACCAGCACTTATAATTGGCTTACAATACAAACACATCCCGGAGTAGCCCAACATGGCGTCGTCAGAAGCCCCAGCGGGCCATTCTTCCTGCAGCGAGCCGGCCAGCTGCCGAGCCGTGCCATGCCTTTTAATGGTGGGACTCGCCCTCATGCATTTTATGTCGCCGCAGTGTAGACATCTGTGTCCACGTCTTCCTGGCCAGAAGTAAAGGGGGATAGATTTTTGATCCGGGGTCAGATAGCAAAGCTCTAATCTGCAGTCGGCCAGGAAACCCATTGACACCCCTTGACTTTCAGCTGGGCATGGCATATGTTGATTTGGGATATCAAGCGAGGCGGCGGTGCACTACAGCCCCTTCACAAAAGCTCCGAAGAATCCAGTCAGAGGCTGGGACCAGTCGTGTCACCTGCAGGGCGCCCGAAAATTGAGCCAGCCCGTGTTGATGTCAGCATGTCTGTGTGCACTGGAGGCGCATGCGCACATTCCGTGGGAATGCTGCTATATGCTGCCTGTCTGATCACGTACGTTGTGCGCCACGGAAGCAATTGGTGTTTGACATCCTGCGGTTTAGGGTAACACTACAGCTGGTTGGAGTTGGATTCGGGATCTCAGCCAGCAGTGTTGTGTTCATAAGGCTTTCTGGTAGCATGCTGAGTGTCGGACAGTCGAGTTGCAAAAGAAGGGTTACCGATGAAACCGGTTCTTAACCTCTATAGTCTTTGTCTCAGAAGTCCTATACAGATGTGGGGGTGGTCGGCCAGCGCTGCAAAGTGAGGCTTTGAGGGGTCTTGGTTTTTCAAGTTTGGCCAACACCCAACCCTCCACAAACGCTGCCGATCTTAGAGGGACTACCATTCTTTGACTTCCAGACTCGCCGGCTACGCGCGACAGTGAGCTTTCGAAAAACCCCAAACCCAAACCCCACATCCCGAATATCAACCTTGAAGATGCGCGCCTCCAAGCTTGATGTTTTCGGATGTTCTGTTAGCTACGTCGACTCAATACTCACCCCAGACCAGGCACCTTATCGATGAGCCGTGTCATGTGTGAGAATAGTTCAGGCAGGCCGTGCTGGTGTGGGCCGAAGCCCCTGTGGCTGAGACCTTCTCAGTCGTGGAAGCCAAGGAGCAGAAGCTGGTGTTGAAGTGATGGTTGCATCGGTTTCCCTCGACACCCCTCGCCCCGAGTTGAAAAGGAGGTACATTCCGGGAGTCCTGAAAATGCGCGCGTGCTGCGACGCAGGAGTTTGGACCTCTCGACCTGGAGCGCCTTCGCTCATTTGTTTTCTTTGGGAGAGACGTGCTGTCTCGCAGGGTCTAGTAGAGGAAACCTCAGGTAAATTGACAAGCTGTGGAAAGTGTGGATGTTCTTTCTGCAGGGATGCAATGGGAGGAGACGGGTTTTCAAGCTGAGCGAAAAGCTCCACTCAGGTTCGAGATTTCCTGCCCCTCCTGCGTTCAGTTGCAATCGCCGAACTTGACGGATGGAGCGATGGAGCTGTGGCGAGTTTGGTGACATGGCCAATTTGCAGAAGCAGAACCTACGGGTGGGGCTTTGGAGATGTTCTTCCTACTTCTGCCCGCGTAGGCCCCCAGCAGTGAAAGACCACGTGAGCCCAGAAGTCCAAAAGCGAGGACCGTTTCGCATTTGGTGAACACAGACTCCCAAAAGCCAAGACAGTCTCGCATTTGGTGATTTCAGACGTCCAAGACCGACGACAGCTCGCATCTGGTGAACACTTAGCGAACACAGATGCCCAACAGCGACGACAGTTTCGCATTTGGTGATTTCAGACGTCCAGAGCGACGAGCACGTGCAGCACAGCTATGCGAGAGCGATTTTCGTCCAAAACGTGATCAGGCTTCCAAAGAAATGGTCCGGGGCCGCATGCATTCAGTCAGGAGGGTCCGGAACTTGACTTTGAAAAAGATTCCTCCGGTGACAGCTCCCTATTTTAGGCGAAGCTAAGTCGACAAAGATACCTTTAAACCCTGTAAACCCGAAACCTTTGACAAGTACATGTCCGATCCTTCGGAAAGTCCACACAGGGTTCAGGTTTCCTCCTACGCTGCAACCCCGTAGTGTGTGGCTAGTAACCCTTGCGCGCTGCGTGCGAGTGCGAGAGCCGAAGCCCTAGCCTTGGGTTGAGCTTCTTGGCGACTGCAGGCATGGCTACGATTCGGCAATGTACCCCCACTGTACAGATGCCACCGAGAATCGAACTGTGGATGCGAGCCTCTCCAATGCAACACTCTGCTACAGCCACTCGCTACTGAAAGGGCATGCGTCATGACCAATATGGCTTGCGATGAACACAAGCTTGACTAGTGGGAGCTGGCCATGCAGAAAGGCGTAGTCAGGCGTGCATCTGCCACATTTGCCATCGTCGCACCGTAGCACTCTCGACTCAAGGTTCCGATGATATTGCCGAAGCATCTGGCATTGTCGTTTCTCTCTGGAACATGACCACTGGAGGTCCTTCCGCTAGCTGAATTAAGTCATTTGAGTCATAATTTGTGTGACTTCGTGATGTGTGTGTGTGTGTGTGTACGTGTGTTGGTTGAAGTGCAGGCCAGGGGAACCGAGCAAACGTCATCGTCAGAGGCGCGTCCATGGTTGTCACCACACCCCTAGAATGGTGGCACGAGTCTTGGCACAGTTGAGACAGCCTTCATCTTAATCGCCGTAGCCATCACACTTCGTGCATGAAGATTGAAATGTCGAGATTGATGGGAGCGTATAGCAAATTGTCGAGGTGGAGACACCTTTCTCAGAATGAAGCGTTTGCTGAGGAAAAGACGCTTTTGCTGGGCTTGAAGGCAAGCTGCGCTCACACGAATTTGAGTGGAATGGGCCAGGTATCTAATCTAAAGATTCTAGAATCAGTTGCAGCTGCAGCAAGTCATGCTACATTGCAGGCTCCCACCCATTTCGGAGATAGACGTGGCAGCCATCACAGCTAACTAAGCGTTGTCGCCATTCCTAGGCAGCTTAGCGATGCCAATGCAGAACTTGAGAAGGTGACGCGCGATGCTCAAGATTGCACCTCCGCAACTGCTTGCAATCTGAAGCGGGAACTTTATCTCGGTTCCTTTGCTGTAAAGCAGGTCTTCAGACAGAATTTCCGAAGCGTTTGCGGGACGGGATCTGTTGAATTTTCATGTGATATACACCCAAGATACCCCCAACAGTACGCCCAGGCAGCATGCAGTACGATGGTCGCGTACAGGGCTGGCCCGGAGCGCGCTTGAACCTTCGACTTCTTCGGATGGCCCAAGTGACGCCTGTCCAGAAAGCAATGCTTACCGAAAGCAACACTTCGCTGACTTCGCTGAGACATTGTACACTCGATTGTACACTCGACTGTACACTGTTTAAGTTTAAATCGGTTTCCTGACTACAGTAGAGTCCTGAAAGATGTAGAGGCAGCAGAGCTTGCTGTGGCAGAGGTATACAAGGCTCCCTGGACAAACCATCTGGGACGTTCTCGGAGCTGTCGGAGGACCTGTGCTCTTGCATTGCAAAGGCTCCGCTTACGCCTTGCCTTGGCCCCGAGAATCGAAGGGAAATTTGCAAACAAAAAAAAGGTTGATATGTCTGCTGGCATTCATGAAATCTCTTCAGCAGTCCCCCGTACAAAAGGCGACTCTGTCTTCCTGGGGGCTTTTGATAGACACGATACGCAGGTCTCTGGACATGGCTATCCAACGCGAAGTTTCCATTGGGGCTTCAGTGGCATGTACGGTTGCATCTTTCCTTGGCCAGGCCACGTAAAATCCCAGACCTGGCTAGTGCTTGTATGGACTGCACTTGTTCGAGAGAACTTGTTGTAGGGAGGAAAGAGGATACGACGAGGAAAGGAGCAAGCCAGCAAGATGGTGCGAGATGTATCCAGGTGCAGGCACAAGTGCAGGCACAAGTGCAGGCACAAGTGCAGGCACAAGTGCAGGTGCAAGCGCAAGTGTGCGTTGGGAGGAGCCAATGGCCTTCTCATGACTTTGATGACGATCATAGCCGCCATGCTGCAGTTGCCTTGAACTGTAGTCCGCGCTGAGGGACTTGTAAGCTTCTGCCTCGTTAAAGACCTTCACATTAAATGCCCTTGTAGTCTGCCTGCTGGTTTGAAAATCCTTCTCAGCACTTTCTGTGACAGACACAAGTCTTGTTGTTGATTCAAGGTATCAGGCCTGGAAAAGTGGGAAACCAAGCGCTTTGCCGAGTCAGCTGCTGATGCGGCGAACACCGCGGCGATGGACGGACAACAAGTCATGAACATGGGTATATCCGAATTATAGTGTCTTGGAGCCACATAGAGCTTTCCAGTGCACTGTTGCTACGTAGATTTGACATGCTGCCTGCACGTGCCATGGATTTTCAGAGCTGGGAAGGTTTAAGAACTCGTTTTCCCTGTGCAGAAATGTGCGCAGAGGCACGGGTATGGAATAGGGAGCATGTCAAATTGTTCAGACTTTCTGGTCACTGCCACCTGCATTCTCGCGCCGCGCCAAAGGCGCGGTGCAACTGCAAAACGCCAAGTTTCTTGGCATGGCGCGCACAGTTGACTTGGATTCATGCACCATATTGGTGCAGTGGTGCGAAACAAAATGGATGGAACAGCCTGGCACATAAAAAACGGGGCGAAGGAGATTTGCATTAAAGCGTGAGGAGCTCCATCCTTGTTCGGGAGGCTTCCCTGGAGTGATTCCAACAATTGCCTTGTGGCAGATGCCAGCACAGGCGTGCCGCACGCTTAGCAGATGCTGAGCGGATGTTTGCATTGTTTGCATGTCTTCAACACAGTCTTCGAGTTTCTCATAAACAGGCAACTTAAGCAGGCAACAGCGGCAGCTAAGGCCCCCAGTGAACATTGCTGACCCCTTTGGCCGCGGCGGCTCCCCAGAAACATGGATGCATTCTGTGTGTGTGTGACTATGTATATGACTACAGCAATGTGTTTGATAGGGCGAATGTTCCACCAAGGATCCGGCATCTTTCACGCTGTTCCCAGCGTCTACACAAGTGGCATGCGCGACATCACCAGACGGCAACGCTGCCTTCCTCACTCTGCCTGGTACTTGGAAAGACTCCGCAACATGCAGCCGACATTCGCCAGTGCCTACAGTTGTTTCCCCACTGTCCTATACTGTAAGTCATGAGCATTAGGGGGGTGTCGAGGCACGTGCCAGGACTTCACAACAGCGTTGCTACTGCTATAGTGCTCCTGCAGTGCATCGCGCATGTTCTGAAGGTCCGAAGGCTTGGTGGAGATCTCACGTTACTATGCCTTCCGCCACTTGCCACAAGCTGGAGAAAAAATGCGGCTATTGTCTTGTCATTGGTTGCATGTTCAGATTCAGGGGATTGGGGGTTGTGTTTCTGAATTGGCGGACGTGCAGTATGTCATACAGTGGAACTGAAGCTCAGGCAGCTGTCTTGAACGTGTACGTTCATGGGATCCTGCCCAAAGTTTCCGAAACATGCACATAGCACAATTCGACTGCACTAGTTGGTATTAGAAAGCCGTCCACTCTTTTTCCAGGCCTTGTGGTGCAGAATGCAGACCGAAGTCCAGCCAACAACGTCGCATGTCTGCAGCCCATCCCATAGCCCACTTAACCTACCGGAGCCTACAGTGTGTATCAAGTTGGCTGACTTGTCACTATCGTGAACAATGCGAGCGGATGCAAGCGCTGGATGAAATTGAGGAAGGATCTGATACGAGCATTCAGCCTCGAAAGCCCAGGTTTGGAGGCTTCAGTTTGGCCAGCAAGCCTCACTTCCGATCCCTGGATTCACGATGCAGGTGCCGGTCCAGTTCCGGGATACTGTGCTGGGTGGATGATCGAATTCTACTGCCCAACCTGTTTTTCCACCACACTGCTCCATTTGCGCAGGCCTTCCAGCAGCCCGTTCCTCAGCCCAGCTTCCCAAGCAGTGACACAGTGACAGGAGTTGACGCTAGGAGTGCCACCAGCCATGCTTCTCGGCGAAGTAATGCGCATAATAGCAACTGCCTAACGGCCAAGGTTGGGGGTATCGGCTTCATTTGCGGGTGCAGCACAGCGCATCGGCCAAGCACCGCCAAACCTGCTTCAGGCTGGCAGTTTCGGTTCCATGTGCTTCTTATGTGCCGACAGAGTTCAGGGTTCCTAGTGGCAGCATCCAAGGATGAGGAGAAAACTGCTCGTTTATTGTCGCCCTGGAGAGTTGGGTAGGTGCGCTTTCAACCATCCGTGCCTGTGCCCTCCGGCGGGGTGCTACGGCTTTGACCCCGGTTCATGACCTGAGATCATAGGCACACTAACAAGAGAGACAAGACATTGCATGGTGCCGGGACAGCCAGTTGGCAGCACCTCTTTCCCTTTTAAAGGTTGACACCACCCACTGGCTTCGAGCTCATGGCCTCCGTCCCTCGTACATCACGAGGTGTTCTGGTGCAGGCCAGTGCTGCTAACGATCGGCTGAGTAGCTTCAGCTGGTTTCAGCTGGCAGTTCCTGACTTATAAAGCCTGTGCAGGCCAGCGCTACTTGTGTTGGTGAGTCCGTCTTTCTAGGCTGGGCTTGCACAAAGACAGCAAAGAAGTCTGGCTAGGCATTACTTCCGTAGGGCATGGTGGGCGAAGTCAGCTTCGACTTGCTCGAGCGAGCACGGCTTCGTGCAGCTGATTGTAGCTGCCTTCATAGGTGTTGACTACAGCTTCAGCCAGTGCGAAGTTCGCGTCTCAAGTCGGCTCTGTCATGCAAAAGCGATTGTAAGTCGGCAACAGGTCTGGTGAGTAACAAAACTTCGTCCATGCCCTGACTCTTCTTTTCCTAGGCCGCATGCTCACAGCGCAGCTCCTGTGAGTTCTTTCGAGTGGGTATTGGCGATCGGCCAGCCCCCCAAGTCTGTGACCACGACTCTGTCATGAAAGCGAGTTGTCTGATGCTTGGGGCCTCTGAACCCTGTCCGGCCGAATCTGGCCTTTCTGAATGCTCATTCTCAGGTCTGGCGAATGCATCCAGGCCACAACTATCCTGAGACACTTTGGTAGTGAGGAGTCTAGTCAGTCTAGTCCAGTGATTCGAAGGCCCAATGCGGTGTAACCTCGCATGTCCTAGCAAGAAATTTGGCCCAAGCCTCCTCAGGAATCCACCGGCGACGGCTCAGCACCCTGCCAGGCGGCCAGTGCACTGCGCACAGATTTGATTAGTGTAAACAGCACCCTCACAGCCAGCAGTGGGTAGACAGGCAGGCACGCGTGGTGGGAGATGTACGAGCATGAATGTGAACAAGAAAGCGAGAGACAGTGGGAGAAAGCCTTCCCTTCAAACTGCCACACGAAGAAGAATTAAGAACCTCTTGAATTGATCCTTCGACCTGGCATGACCCAGTACCTTTGTTTCATCTCTTCGGAAAGGTAAGCCATCATCAAAGAGAAGCAGAACATTTCAGAGCTGATGTTTTTTGTGATGTCCACCGGCCACGATGCCCCTGAACTACACTGTACCGGAGGGGCACGGGCAATTCTGAGAAATCCTAAGTTCTAAACGATAAAGCAAGAAGATCTGCTGCTTCGGTGAGCAAAGCCATGTCAAGCCAGGAACTTCAGCCTGACGATTCCTTCAGTCCAGATCCCAGCTGCGCAACGGGTTCAACCGAGCGTACGAACATCGTGACACCTTACAGTAGTGGGTTACAGCATTTTGAGCGTAGTGATACTGGTGACCCAATGCTTAGCTTTGGACGAGGTGTCTACCGGGTCACGCCCACGGGCAACTGCTACCGCTTTCTTCTGACAGAGGCAGACCCGGCCATGGTGCTTCCACACCTATGATTAGGGTGTGGAGTGCAAGCAGCATGCAAGATGTCAGCTTCGGGGCTATCTTGCTTTCGACTGTATTACAGTAGACAACTACGACGAGGTGGCTTTCTTGATACTGTGAGCTCACACTCCACAATTCAGGGAGAGTGTCCAGAATCTCATGGCCCAGAAGCCTGCAGGATGCGAATCAAAGCCAATGTGACGGCAAACTCCTGCCATCCCACACTTATCGCGACGTACCCCCTTGCAAATTAACTAAATGCAAAAAGCATAGTTCTCACTTGACATGTTACGCCACCAGTGACACCAGTAGTCGCAAGGATGGCGCTCAACGGAATGACGTGGACTGCAGCTTGGAGCAGCACCCTGCGGCAGATTTGCCGGGCCAGGCTGAATGTGTGACCTTGCCAGTGCATGTTGCCAGCATGCTTCCCACACCAGAAAGCCTCCAGCAAAGACAGCCCAGCAGTTATGCTGGTGGGGAATGCAGGGCACTCAAATGCAGAAAGGGACGGCGCAGCCCCTTGTTCAGGGGTTTGGCAGTGACCCCGATGCCGTGATGACTGTGGCCGCAGGGCACACAGAGCCACTGAACCTGTGGTGAGTAAGAGAGAGAGGAGATCTCATGTCCTGCCTGGCTCGCGAATGTTGCTCGATGTTGCTCGAGGACCGATGAACTCAGTAAGGGTAGTTGGGGTTAGGGCATAGTGGGTGGGTCCTGCCCGGGTAAAGCAGCACAGGCTGCCTCTATAGGACTCTAGGCGCTGCGATATTCACATATGAGCCTCCATGCCATCAAGGTCTTCGGCCTCCGCATTGGAGCACCGGCACTGGCAGTCGAGAAGCTATACATCGTCCGGGTCTCCCGGGACTACCACGGACTCCAAGGCTTCAACTCACAGCAGCCTTTCTCAAATGTTCACGAGGCTTCAGCACAGGTTGGAAAGGCAAGAAAGGCATCCAGTGTAATGTCCACTACCCACTGCTCCCTGACAGCTCCTTGTCACCCATGCACTTGCTTCCTGTTCTTCTTCAAAAAGTTGCTATCGGCTTTTCGTGGGTCTTGCGGCCGCTGAGGCCACTCTTGCCATGCGGAATCCCATGCAGGCTTGGTGCACGCTGCCAAGAGTGATATTTCAACAGGACTCCATGAAGCTTTGTTGTGTAGGGAGATCAGGGGCATCCCCAGCCGGTACTAGGGGAACAGGGCGGCAACACGTGCATGGTCGTTCTGACGCGAAGCCAGAAGCAAACATGTCCTCCGCTCTGCGCAGATGCCCGAGCAGAGCGTGTGGACTCTGCAAAGTTTCTCCCAGACACTGCTGGTCTCCGAGGTCGTCCTGCTCTGTGAAGCGCAGCTATTGTTTTGAAGTTGCACCTCAAGTTGGTCTCAAGTCAGACTCTAGGACTCTAAGCTTTGGCGAGCCATGCAGCAGCGCCCCTTGCAGGCCCTGTTGGAGGATGCCAGTGCAGACGGCTTTGCGTTGCTCGCAGCATTGGATCGCCCAAGCCTTGGGCGGCTTCCGGACTTGTGGATCCTTGGGTCAAGGCAAAGGATGAAGGATGTTGAGGAGGGCGCCAGGCTGAACAGACTGAGAACAGAAGCACACTCATTTTCAGTAACTCATGTACTCCCGCTACTCGGCTGTAGAATTCACATAGAATCCACATACGTCCGCATCGCGCCAAAATGCGAAACCCCACACTAGCAACCTCCATGGCATCAACATGGCCAGGCTTGGAACTGCAAGTCCTCCCAGAAGCAGAGAGACACAAGGCATTCGCTGCATACGCTCTTGGAGGTTATGAGGGCTTGGAGCAGTTGAGGGCGAGTTGGCACTATGGTAAAAACGGCGCAGTTCTTAATGCTGTCGCACAAGGCTGCCTCCTTCAAAGGTGTGCTTGAGCCATGATTTCATTGGTCGTTCCTGAAGCAGGGCCATGGACAACCAGCAATGTGCAAATTCCTGCAGCCGAAGACGGGCAAAGTCCAGGCAACCTATAGCAACATGAGATTGCGCAATCGTGCAATCATGACGAGCAGGCACAGATCTGGAAAGCACAGAATGAGGCTAAGATGTATAATTGCAAGTGGCCGGCCAGGCAAGCGCCGAAGTCGAGTTGCCAGGGCCCTCAGCTTTCGGTTTGGGTGGTTGGCTTGACCGTATGTAGCAAATCGGCCACGCAGCAAGGACAGATCGAAGAACTCCGCACTTGCCGAAACGAGGATGCACGTTCATGTCAGGTCCTTCATCTGGGCACCCAGCGAGCCTGTCATTCCCACGAGCGATGCGGGGAACCCGGCATGAGCGGGAAACTTTCATGACAAGCTGGACCCTGTTCCATGCACGGCCCGCAAGGTAATTGAGGTGCAGCTGCCTTCGTGGTGTTTGCCTAAGGGCCTGTTCAGCCGACTGTCGCCATGCCGACTTGGAACAGTAAGGAAGGCCAGTACCGCTTCGCAGCCCAGGCTTGAGGTATCTGCTGCGGTTTGCACCTCCCTGCAGACGCCAGTTGCCCAGTCTTGTGATTTGCGATTGTTTCAAGATGCTTCTAGTGGAGTACATCGGGCAGTCCACACGTGCTCTTTGGCAAGTGCTATACTGTAGCTATCGGTGCACTTTGAGATCTTTTAGCGCAGAGGCCTGCAATGGCCGACTACATGCTGATTGCATGCTTGCTCTCAGGGCACGCAGCTCAGCTTGTTTGCCATGCTTTTGCACGAGAGACGGCTGCAACATGATCCCGGATGCAATGTCCAAAATTGCTGAACGAAGGCCATCGACGCTGCAGTTCAGCATCACAGGGCCTGCAGAGGCCCTGGCTCAGGCAGGACGTTCCCAAGCACAGTGGGTACTCAAAGGTCATGCTGCAAGTGACAAGCTGTGCCTCGTTCGTCCGGACTAGGCTAGGGTGGCAGGATTTGGTGTTTGCATGGCGCTTGTTATGATCAAGGGTGGCCATGTCCTGGTACAAAAATGCGGCATGGAACGCGTAAGCAAGCATGTGAGCAACAGCAAAGGCCTCTGACCGGGCAACAGCAGGGGACAGCGCAGTTGCCTGGCGAAGGGATACCTCCATGTTGAATGTGCTTCTCTGGCGAAGCGAAGCGATACCAAACTTTGACAGGATTTCTTGAGCAGCTGCGTCAAATTCTCGTGCCCTAGAGTCAGAATGATCGATGCACCGTCACTTAACTCCTGCAGTCCTGGAGAGCAGAAGTCTTGACGCTGGTGCTTTGTATGTGAGCGTGTTGAATGCAATCATGCTTCCTTCGCCCGACTGGTCTGAAAGCTGACTACCAGTGGCATGGGACCATTGGAGCGCAAAGAATTTTGACGGTACTTTCTCAGAGCATGTCTCGTTACAGCGATTCGGATAGTAAGTTTCGTTTCGGCGTTCAGACGTACAAGCCATCTTACACAGTGTTGGAGTGACACCGGTGTGTTTGGCTTGATGAAAGAAACTGCCTAGCTACCAGTTTGTTGCCGGTTATCATGAGTCTTTCTCTCTACCGCCACACTTGCGTTGCATGGCTGCCTGCCTGAGACAGGGATCTCGGTTGGACTTCCGCCTCACTGCCACCAATCCGAGTGCCGCAGCTGTGGCTGCAGCTCCACGAGGTATGATGACGTGCCGCAGCAGCAGCAGCATCATCCTTGCTCGCAAACAATGATGTTGGTGGCGCAGCACAACACAAGCATTTCGAGAATGCGATGCTGAACTGAGAACCACAGGGTGAGTTCGGAGTTTGTGTTGGTGTTGCGGTGCGAATTGGGTGTGGTGTCTATTGGTTATAGGCCTGTTCGGGACTTTCAGAGTCGCAACCCATAAAGAGCACGTCGTAGTGATTAAGTTGAACAGCCAGCGACTGAGATTGGTGCAGCTGCTCGGAACTCAGCTTGACCTGCGGATGCTGTGCAAGCACCTGCTCCAAGCAGCAAGTTCCTGATGGTATCGAAAAATACTGTGAAGTTGCAGCACAGCATCAGCAAGATTTGCGCATGCACTGCAGTGATTTTGCGCGTGTATGCGGCTCATCCAGCCTGTCGTCTTCACTGAACATGCAATGCAATGACAGGTCTCACTTACGACCAGTGACTTCCGCGGTCACAGGAGAGACTTTGCTTTCAGCCATGGCCTTGGCAGGTCAGAGGGTTGAGGCACTGTCTTTTTTGGGACAGGCACATTGAAAAAGAGGTACATTGTGCTTCTGACGTCGTTCATAGCGCACGCTGTGCATGACTGTCACAACTGTCGCTGTGCGTTTTCACGACGAAGCACATTCTCATGTTTCTCGTCCGGCACCGCCGAGGTGATAGCAGCTTCCGGATCGGAGGCATCGGAGCAATCTGACATGGTGCACACTGCCCAAAAATTGTATATTCGGTGTTTTGTGTATATATATATATAGAGACATCGAACTCAACCCGTCACAACTTGAAGTTATATTGTTGTATTGTACTTAGCAGCTGGGTGTCACATTCTCGGACCACTGGCAGCAGGTGTCGTATTCTTTGCTTGAGCACACAAGCTGGGTTTGGTCAGACTTTCACGCTGAAAGTCAGCTGGTAAGGAGACACAGGAAGCAAAGATGCGAGAAACGATTCGGGGCCCGTCCGGCAATCTGACATATCCAACATTCTTGAAGTGGTTGGCCCGTCTTTGCCCGGCTTAAAGTTGAAACCGTGCGCGATTCGCGAATCCATGGAGATTGCAAGCTTCTACTTCCCGCAACATCAACAGGTAGTTAGCAACTCGTTTGTGCTGTTGCGGTGCTTGGGTTGGGAATCTGTTTCTTGTGCCTACTTGCTCAAAGCTATCTCGTTCTGCAAGCTGGGGGATGCAGATTCGAAGCTCAGACTTTGTCCTGCACCATCTCCTGGTCACGCAAGATATTCATGAACATATGTGTTTGTGAGTGAATACTAGCCGAGAGGCCCATGCAGTGCAACTTGCGATGCCGTTCCTGCGCTGTGAGCTCGGATGACACGGTGAGGGGGAGTTCTGCATAACGCCCCCTATTCTCCTAATGGCTTTCGAATTCGGAGTGCTTGAGTGATTCCAAGGCATGCAGCAAAGCAGGCCCCAGTTTGCAGTGGCGGGGCACTTCCCCACGACGCTTGAGGCAGCACATGTTCCTCAACCTTCAGCCTGGATCGGTGTTTCTTCCCTGACCGACTCTTGATATTTCCAACATTTACGCCCACGTAGCCCGCACAGAACAACGCAATATGACGTAGAACTAGCGGCCGAGCTTGGATGTTGGCAGGTGGCATTCCAAGTGGCAACTCCCGGCGCCGATCAGGCAGCAAAGTGCACAAGGGCTTGCCTGATCCATCAAAATCTCGCTTTCTCACCGGAACAAACAATGCTGCTCTGCAGGTTTGGATTGATACTCTGTCTGGCGGCAACCCCATGGACTTTACCCATGTGCAGTGCACAATGGCCGCCAACGAAGGACAAAGCTCCGTAGAACCGGGAGGGATGGTCTGGTGTCCAGCTGCCGTCCCATGCCGCCAAGTGTATGAAAGCAAGTGAAGGTAGCTTCCAGCTTACCTGCAACATGTTTTAAAGTTGATACACAGGAGCACAGGCAGGAGCCTCCCACGAGTGCGGACCCAAGACTAGATCGGCAGTCCCAGAAGACTTGGAAGAAGGACCATGCTATGATATGCTACACCTACTGCAATGTGCTGCAATGCTGTTAATCTCAACAGAATCTCCGGTCTAGAGTCGGCCAGAGGACCTAGGACCTTGGGAAGGGAATGCTTAAATGTCATGGGATGCACCCCCCAGAGGTTCCCCTGATATACTCCTCATAAGGCCCTTAAATTCCCTCAGAGGATCTCTTTAAACGGGGTACGCAAACCCAAGGGTACAACCTTAGGGGTCCGAGGTAGAGTCCTGTGAAATGCAGTTGATACGGCGATTGGCCACTCAGTTTGGCTCAGTATACCTGCATTTGGCCGCAATACTTCCTCACCTCATGCCGTGCTTGCCGCTTGCGCCCGCTTTTGGGGTGGCCTGGTGCCGCACACGCTACACTATTGCTCACTACTGGCAGTAGGGTAGCTTCCGCATAGACGTAGGCCTGGTTTGGTTGCATGGTTGGAGAGCCACATGCTGGGCTAGCACTGTAGTGTCAATTGCCGCCTAGTTGGGATCATCCTCCTTGTCAAGGCTCAGCTTCTTGAGGCCAGAGCCTCCAAGCCGAAAGTGACATCCTAAAGCCCAGAGTGTATGGGGACCCCACTGTGAGATGCAATTTTAATCGTGTGAGGCTTGGCGCAAGTAGCACTCGGGAGGCTTTAGGCTGGCAGCTTGCAGGGAGCTTCTAAGAATCAAGTTGTCCTCTTGGCTGAGGTGTCAGCATCGAGTTCCCGCCCACGATTAGGGAGGTGGTTTTTCCTGGAGTACAGAACAAACCATAAAAGATCACAGAAGTACTCTGGGCCACGAACATTCATGGAGATGGTAGGACGCCAAACTTTGCGCGTGTGTTTTAGAAGGCCCAGAATGGGATGGCAAGGGCGGCCGACCGACACTTTAGGCAGATTTGGCCTCGCAAATTGCTGAGGCTGTTTGGGCAAACGTCTTGCTTCCCTGGAGGGCACGTGGACTTAGTGGGCAGTGAGACTACGAACACTTACTTCAGACTTCCAGAGATTCGACTTTGCCACATGCAAAAAATCAGACAGATGTGTCGACTGTCGAAGGCAACAGCATAAAGCATCAGCCCATGTCCGAAAATGAGGCAGGTGGACACTATGAGAGGCGGCAGCCTCGTCAGCCAGCTCGGAAACCCAGACCTCGAATGTCACCACTTGTCTTGTTAAAGTCTGCAAACTGTGGTTTTCAGAGTCAGTGGAGCCTGGCCCACCAGGGTCTAGGAAATGTGCGGCT